AAGTTGCTGGTTGAAGTAGTACTATGAAAACATGACTTGACAAATGACTAAAACATAACCTATGGTTATTCAGACTTGCATATTTTACAGATTTTTTCTCAAAAATTAACAAAGCAAACCTGTTATTTCAAGTTAGGCAGCTAACAATATTTGTTCACAAAGATAAAACTCAAGCTTTCTAAGAAAAAATAGAATTTTAGAAAATTTACCTCCTCTGTAATGAGCTTCAGAGCTTCCCAATACTTTCTGATGAGTTCAGTAGTAATATCAATAAATGTGCTTTATTAATATATTATATGATAAAATATGTCAACATTTGAAAGATCTCTTTAACCCAGTGAACCAACATTTTTCAAATAGTCAATGCACAATGTTACAAAATCATGCACAGGTAGAATATCCATTCAAAGTGCAAGAAAGACGAATGGAATTGTAATGTAACAGAGTATGTAAAGGTCATTAATAGAGTTTCAGATTCCACTTTTCAACTAAATTTTAAGGAACTACCATTTGCCCAATTTGTCTGTATTTAGAAAGGCTTCCATTACAACTACATTCTGTGTGAGTCTAGAGTTCATATATTTCAACCAAAGTGAACAATTCACAACAGATTGAATACAGAAGTAGATATGAGAATCCAGCTGTCTTTTATTAAGCATTACATTAAATATATTTGCAAAAGAATAGAATAACACTACTCCTCTGATTATTTCTTTTTTTTTTGGAAAATATAATACTTTTCACAAAATATGTTTATATTCAGGTAACATGTAATGGATTTTATTATTGTTATTATTATTATTTGTGTGTGTGTGTGTGTGTGTGTGGTATGCGGGCCTCTCACTGTTGTGGCCTCTCCCGTTACGGAGCACAGGCTCCGGACGCACAGGCTCAGTGGCCATGGCTCACAGGCCCAGCCTCTCCGCGGCATGTGGGGTCTTCCTGGACCGGGGCACGAACCCGTGTCCCCTGCATCGGCAGGCGGATTCTCAATCACCACGCCACCAGGGAAGCCCTATTGTTATTTTTAACTAAACTAATTGATAAATATTTGAAAACTTTCTCAGTTTTAAATTCCAATACAATAAGTATCAAAAGATGCAAACCATGTAAACAAAAGCTTTTGGGGGTTTCTTGGTAGATTTTAAGTGTGCTAAAGGGTCCTTAGACCTAAAAGTTTGAGAACTACTAATTTAATATAATTTCCATTTTAAAATCCATGTACACTATGATTTTGCTCTAGTAAAAAGAAAAACTTTCTCTCTATATATTCGTCTATCCAGTTATCAGCCTTCGTATCTATGGAAGTGTTTGCCAAATATTAATGCTAGCTATTTCTTTTTTAATTAATTAATTTTTTATTGAATATAGTTGATTTACAATGTTGTGTTACTTTCAGGCATACAGCAAATTGATTGACATATATATATGTATATATGTATTATTTTTCAGATTCTTTTCCCTTATACATTATTAAAAATATTGAATATAGTTCCCTGTGCTATACAGTAGGTCCTTGTTATTTTTTTTATATATAGTAGTATTTATATGTTACCCTCAGATTCCTAATTTTTACCCTCCTACCTTTCCCCTTTGGTAACTGAAAGTTTATTTTCTATATCTATGAGTCTGTTTCTGTTTTATAAATTAGTTCATTTGTATCATATTTTTAGACTCCACATATAAGTGATATCATATTATATTTGTCTTTGTCTGGCTTACTTCACTTAGTATGATAATCTCTAGGTCCATCAATGTGGCTGCTATTGAAATTATTTCATTTTTTATAGCTAAGCAATATTCCATTATGTGTGTGCATATATATATATATATATATATATATATCTCACACCTTTATCCACTCATCTGTTGATGAACTTTTATGTTGCGTCCATGTCTTGGTTATTGTAAATAGTGTTGTGGTGAACATTGGGGCACATGTATCTTTTCGAATTATGGCTTTCTCCAGATATATGTTCAGGAATGGGATTGCAGGATCACATCGTAACTCTTTTAGTTTTGTAAGGAAACTCCATACTGTGCTCCATAGTGGCAATACCAATTTACCTTCCCACCATCAGTATAGGAGGGTTCCCTTTTCTCCACACTCTCTCCAATTGCTGGTCATTTCTGAGGGTTGTAATTTCAGCTTTTAGTGCACTTTCACAGCTATTTTTTATATTGCTTGAGTAAAAAAACAACAAAATCATTATCTTAAATGTATATATTCACAAAAATAAATAAAAGTAAAGAGTAGAGAAAAGGGATATGAAAAATTTTTAAATATATATTCCACAAATATCTGAGAATTCAGTAAATGCATCATGAGAATTATTTGCTTTGATGATTTTGGATCAATTGGAAATCAAAAGAGAAAAAATAAAAATTGGCCCTGTATTAATTTCCTATTGCTGCTGCAGCAAATTACCATAAACTTAGTGGTTTAAAACAACAGAAACCAGAAGTATAAAATGTATCTTATACAACTAAAATCAAGTTGTTAGCAGGACTGGGTACTTCCAGAGGCTCCAGAGGAGAAGCTATTCCTTGCCTCTTCCAGCCTCTTTCTGGCGGCTGCTGGCATTTCTTGGCTTGTGACTGCATCACTCCAATCTCTGCTTCTATACTCACATAACTTGTCCTCTTCCACTGTCAAATTTCCCTCTGCCTCTCTCTTAAAAAGACACGTGACTAATTTTATGACCCAACCAGATACTCCAGGATAATCTCCCTATCTCAAGATCTTTAATTTAACCACATCTGCAAAGTCTCCCTTGCCATATAAGGTTAATATTCGCAGGTTCCAACAATTAGGACATGAATATCTTTCAGAGCCATTATTCAACCTGCTACAACCCCTTACTTCACATCATACACAAAAGTCAATTCTCAGGAGAGTGTAGCTCTTAAATAAAGATTACTGAAGATAATGTAAGAGAATAACTTTGTGACTTTGAGGCAGGCAAAGATATCTTAAAGATGATACAGAAAGTACTAATCATAACCACAAAGGAAACAACTGGTAAATTTACCCATACTAAAATTAAGAACATATGTTCACCAAAATTGACCCCTAAGGGCTTCCCTGGTGGCGCAGTGGTTGAGAGTCAGCCTGCCAATGCAGGGGACACGGGTTCATGCCCCGGTCTGGGAAGATCCCACATGCCGCGGAGCAGCTGGGCCCAAGGGCTATGGCCACTGAGCCTGCGCGTCCGGAGGCTGTGCTCCACAACGGGAGAGGCCACAACAGTGAGAGGCCCGCATACCGCAAATTGACCCCTAAGAGAATGGCCAGACGCTCTACAGGATTGGAGAAGATATTTTCAATATATGTAGTTGACAAAGAGCTTGTTTGTATGCTCTTTTATGTGTATGCATATATATGTATATAAATATTACATATACACATAGATATAACTCTATAATCAATAAGGAAAAAGCAAACAAGCAGACAAAAATAAGAGAAAGACACACAAACCGACACTTCACAAAATAGGATATCAAAATAGCCACTAAACATGAGAGTATACTCAACTTCTCTAATATGAGGAAAACAAAAATTAAAGCCAGAATAATAAACACAGAATAGTTAAAATCTACAAGGTGATCAAACCAATTAATGGAAAAAAAAAAAAAAAAAAAAAAAGTTAAAATTAAAAAATTGTTAAAAAAAAAAAAAAAAAAAAAAAAAAAAAAAGATCAGCTGACATTCATATATTGTTGGTAAGGAGTTAAAACATCATTTTAGAAAATTGGTAGTAGCTACTAAATTAATCATAGTCATATTCTGTGACAGAACAATTTAACTCCTGGTACATACAAAACAGAAATGCATGCACTTCAACACCAAAGACACATACGAGATTGTCATAGCAGCATTATTCATAAAAACCAAAAACAGGGTGGGTGGATTTCCATCTATAGAAGAAAAAATAACTGAATTGTGAATATTCATTTAATAGAATATTATAAAGCAGTAGAAATGTAGGGTGAATGCTATCTCAGATACATAATATTGAGCAAAAGCAAATAGACGCTAAAGAACATAGAAGTATGATCCCACTAATATAAAAATGAAAATCAAGCAAAACTATTGCTATAGTTAAACATCAGGATCTCAGTTCCATTTGGTGGAGGGAAGAGGAGAGCACTGATCAATAGGAATTCTGACAATGCAGAAAATTTTCTTTTTCTTAAGTTGGTGGTGTTTGTGTGAGCGGGTTCACTTCATGAGAATTCACTAAGCTATATGGTTAAAATTTGTGTGATTTTCTGTGTGAGTGATACTTAAATTACGAATGTTAAAAAAGAGAGAAATCTATGTACCTACAAGGACAGATATCTAAAACTTATTGTTAAGTGAAAAGACAAGTGAGCAAAGCTATTTATTATATTATTTGTTTTAAAAATAAAATTAGGGCTATGCAAATATTTGCATGTTTATAAATCATAGTAAAGAATACCTCAAAGGGGGATGAAGGATGGGCTGGCAGAAAGGGGAATGTTTCTCTTGTTTTTCTTTATATATTTCTTTACCATTTCAATTTTTATGAGACATATTAAAATTAAAATATAAATAATTAATAATTATAAATCAAGTTATCAATACTCAGTAGGTGCCAGGCACCTTTCATTTATTATCTTATTTTATTATCACAGTAATTCTAACAATTAGTTGCTCTCATTATCCCATTAGAACCTATTGGAAAACTGAGGTTGAAAATAGTTAAGGTCATAGTTATTAAGAAACAAAGTCAGAAGTTAAAATCTCATGTCAAATTAATGCTGTTAATACCATGCCATCCTCAGCCTGCGGAAAATAATGTATATTTCTAGTACAGTACCTTTTACATTGAATAATTATCTAATAACACTCCTATCATCTCACTGAATGATTACTCCTTGAGAACTAAGATTGTATTTGTTAAATGAATGATTGTTATTGAATAAAATGTAAATCTACATTAATCGCTAATTTAATGTAACATTTGTTCTTAAAGGTAATGAGAAGAATTTTGGACAACAGTTTCTTCATTTATTTCTTGTGGAAGGAAAGCCCACAGTTAAATACGGATGTGGAAGTTCTCAAAATATCTTGACTCTTTCTGCTAATTACAGCATTAACAGAAATGCATTCATCCCTATAACAATACGGTAAGTACCCCACAGTAGTTCCTTTAACTATAGTGCTGAGCCTTATTTTTTAAATGTTTTTTACATGTGTAATAAGCCACCTAAATACAGAAAGAAAGAAAAAAAAGGTCTCTCTGAAAATTGTTTTCCCAATCTTTTTTTTTCATTTTAGTGAAATAAACTACAAATTTGATACCATCCAGTATCAGTCAAATTGTAGACAAAATGAATCAATTTCTCTGAAAATATCTTGAAGCAAATAAATAGATTAAAGAATTGGGTGGTTCAGTTGAAATTAAGATCTAGTTCAATTGTTCAACAAAATATCTATTGAGTGAAAAGAGCATCACTCTTAGGAAATGGAGGTGGGGAAACATCATTAGCACAGAACAGAAAAAAGAAAATTCAGTAGAAAAAAATCGCATATTAAATGGAAATGTCTTTCTGGAGCATATAAAATTTTGGAAGGCAGTCTTGAAATTAATTCATGCTTCAGAATTAGGAAATTCCAAAAAGAGAAATGGCTAAATATGATGATCACATCCCAAAGGCACTACTGAACAAAATTTACATGTAGCAACCAAGAATATAAAATTGCTCATCAGTATAGCAATGTAGTGATAACGTTCTCCAAAGTTACTCTTCGTCAGTTAAAAATAACGTTTTGTGTCTGACTTTATGTATTAGATGACATTTGGATAAGTTGATCTGATCATCTGGAATCCTGGCTAACCTATGAAGGTTATATAAATCGAATAATCTTTCCCAGGGCCTGAATCAATCTGAAAATAAAATCAAAGAAATTGACACCAATCTGAAAATAGAAACCATGTACAGGCAGGAACAGTATTTTACTCATCTTTAATGTACTTAGCAGAGCATCTGACAGATTCTCATAAATGTCTGAATGAATAAAGAAATGAGAGTGTCTGGGCTGGGAAATTCAGCTGGTTATGACAAGAAGGCAATGAAATTACCCTAAGGTAATGAAATTGTTATTCATAAATTAGGCTTACCCTTTTGGAACACTGAGTTATGTACAGAAAAAAAGCAAACTTTGAGAGCAATGGACTTAACTCCAATTTCAATCATTTCTCTTACAAAGGCTTGCTGTTGATCACAGAAAAGGAGCCAGATGAGAAGGTGAATAACTTAAAACCAATTTAAAAGGCATTTCTTGATAACCTCATCATTTTAAACAATGTCATCATTTTATACAAACAGTCTATTACATATGAAGTAATTTCTATTTTTGGTCAAACTTTCTTGAAGGACTGATTTCATGTTTTGCCTTTAACTAATGAGGACCTAGTCAGGCAGTCCTCAAACAAACCCCTCAAATCCTTAGGTAGCCTCAAGTTGAAAGCATCCTGAAAAAAATTACTGACACTTTTATTAAAACTGAAAACAAAGGACTTTGGATTAATGTTATCCAAAATTTAGAAAGTGAAATACAGCCATCTTTACTGATGCAAAAATGTAAATCTGATTTGTCTTGTCAGCAATATCCTACAAGACCTCAGGGTGACAATAGTTTGCATTAAAGGCTGACCCTAGAACTATATTATATATTATACATTATATTATACATTACATATTATATTACTTAAATTATTTAAATTTACATAATTTTAAAACAGTCTATATATTTAAATTTATATAATTTTAAAACATTATATAAATTTAAATGTTAGTTAAAATAAATTAACTAAAAATTAATTTTAGAAAAGTTGAGTGCCCACCTGCTCTCTCAATATTTCTTAATTTTTGTTTTTCATTTTTCTTTCTGTTTCTTTTGGGTTTTTTTCTCTGTTTTTAATTTTATTTATTCATGTAACAAATGCTTTTTTTTTTTTTTTTGTAGTATTACACTAAGCTCCTGGAATTCAATGTTAAGCCAAAACAGACAAAATCCTAATTCTTATTTAAAGTTTGGTGAAGCAGATTGACAAATAGTCACACTAAGGAGGAAATATCAATAATTAAAATTCAAGATGTGTGGGAAATTTTTAAAAAATGGTGCAAGGAAAACAAATTACAAAGTAACCTAGCCTAGGATAGTCAAAGGAAGCTCTCTGAAAAATGGGTAGAGGTGGTGAACTAGGTAAAAACAAATAAGCAGAAACAGTCAAAGCAGTGGTGTAGGAGTTCCAGGCAGTGAAAAGAGTATGAGAAAAGAGCCTTTGGTGGAAAGAGCCACAGTATATTAAGGGATCCAATAGACTAACTGTATGGAACAGAGGAGCAGAGGAGGATGACTGAGTACAGGAAGATGAAGACGGAGGGTCCACCAGATGGCAAAATCTGTAAGGCCCCATAACTGTGTTAAAGACTGATTTAAGGGGGCCACTTAGATGTCTGTTATATGTCCAAATAAGACATATGGTGGCTTGGACTAGGCTGGTGTCATACAGAAATTGACAGATTAAAAAAATAATTAGGGTTGGTGGCCAAGATGGCAGAGTGGGAAAACTCTGAGCTCACCTCCTCCCATGAGCACAGAAAAATTCAACTAATTACAAAACAACTATTGATCAGAAAGACCAAAAGACTAGCAGAAAAGATCTTCTACAGCTAAAGATTTGAAGCACCACAAGGAAATGGGTAGGAGGTGCTGAGTCACGATATAGTCAACACCCATTCCCATGTGTGGGTGGCCCACAAACAGGAGGATAGTTACAATTGTAGAGGTTTTCCCCAAGGAACAAGGGGTCTGAGCCCCACATCAGGCTCCCCAGCCCAGGAGTCCTGCACCAGGAAGATGAGCCATAGGAACATTTAGCTTTGAAGACCAACAAGGCTTGCATATAAGAGAGCCAGAGAGCTGTGGAAGATTGACTCCATTCTTAAAGGTGCAAACAAAATCTCACACACTCCAAGACCCAGGGCAGAAGAAGTGATTTGAGACAAGCCTGGGTCAGACCCACCTGATGATCTTGGAGAGCTTCCTGGAGAGTCAGGAGGAGACTGATTCTAACCCTGGGGATATAGACACTGATGGCAGCCATATTAGGGAGCTTGTTCTATCACAAGGACACTGATGCTGGCAAGTATCATTTTGGAATCCTCTCTCTAGCTTATTAGTGCCAGGACCCAAACTGGCCCACCAGCCTGCTGGCACCAATACTAGGATGCTTCAGGCCAAGGAGCTGGCCTGGCAGGGACACAGACCCACCCACAAACAGGCTAGCTGCCTTAGACCTGCTGAGCCTAACCTTTCCAGGACTCAACCCCATGCACCAGCAGGCCAACACCAGCTCTGGGACACCATGGGTCCCTAAGTCAGTTGCCCTGGGATCTGACCCTACCCCCCAGGGGGCTGACACAAGCTATGGGACACCCCAAACACCACAGTCAGTCATGTCAGGAACCAGCCTCTCACATCAGCAAGCTGATACCAGCTCTGAAAGAAGTAACAAACAACACCACAAATATACAAAGGATTATAAGAGAGTACTATGAACAGTTATACACCAAACAAATGGACAGCTTAGAAGAAATTAATAAATTCCCAGAAACAAACAATCTCCCACAGTTGAATCAGGAAGAAATAAAAAATATGAACAGACCAATTACTAGTAATTAAATTTAATCAATAATAAAAAACCTCCCCAAAAACGAGAGTCCAGGACTAGATAGCTTCACAGGTAAATTCTGCCAAACATTTAAAGAAGGTTTAATGCCAATCCTCAACTTCTTCCAAAAAATTGAAGAAGGAAGAATGTTTCCAAACTCATTATGCAAGGCCAACATCACTCTGATACCAAAATCAGACAAAGACAACACAAAAAAGAAAATTACAAGCCAATATCACTGACGAAAATAGACGAAAAAGTCCTCAACAAAATACTAGCAAACCAAATTCAACAGTATATTAAAAGGACCATATACCACAATCAACTGGGATATATCCCAAAGATACAAGAATGGCTCAGTACTTGCCAATTAGTCAATGTGATGCACCACATTAACAAATTGAAGGTAAAAATTATATGATCATCTTAATAAATGAAGAAAACGTTTTTGACAAAATTATACATCCATTTGTGATAAAACTCTCAACAAGGTAGATATAGAGGGAATATACCTCAATATCATAAAGGCCATATATGGCAAATCCACAGCTAACATTATACTCAATGGTGAAAAGCTGAAAATGCTTCCTCTAAGATCAAGACAAAGACAAGAATGCCCACTCTCACTTTTATTCAACATATTATTGGAAGTTCTAGCCAAAGCAATCAGACAAGAAAACTAAATAAAAGCAATCCATATTAGAAACGAAGAATTAAAACTGTCACTGTTTGCAGATGGCATGACACTATAAATAGGAAATCCTAAAGACACCACGAAAAAAACCAACTAGAATCCATCAGTGAATTAGGTAAAGTTGCAGGATACAAAGTTAATACACAGAAATCTGTTGCACTTCTATACACTAATAAGAAACTACAGAAAGAGAAATTAAGCAAAAGTCACACTTAAACAATCACACCAAAAAGGATAAAATACCTAAAAATAAATCTAACTAAGGAGATAAAAGAACTGTACCTGGAAAACTATAAGACACTGATGAAAGAAATTGAAGATGATACAAACAGATGAAAAGATATACTGTGTCCATGGGTTGGCAGAATTAATATTGTTAAAATGACCATACTACCTAAGGCAATCTAAAAGTTCAGTGCATTTCCTATTGAAAAACCAATGGCAGTGTATATAAGTCCATGCCACTCTCTCACTTCATCCCAGCTTACCCTTACCTTTCCCTGTGTCCTCAAGTCCATTCTCTATGTCTGTGTCTTTATTCCTGTCCTGCCCCTAGGTTCTGCAGAACCTTTTTTTTTTTTTTTAGATTCCATATATATGTGATAGGGAGGGTGGGAGAGAGACACAAGAGGGAGAAGATATGGGGATATATGTATATGTATAGCTGATTTACTTTGTTATAAAGCAGAAATTAACACACCATTGTAAAGCAATTATACTCCAATAAAGATGTTTAAAAAAGAAAGATAAGA